ATGGGGAGGGTTGGAGGTGCTGGAGATGAGGGACATGGAAGGGCGACTAGAGGTGATCGGGGAAGATACCATATGAGTTGTGTTATTTGTTTTTATTATTGAGTTATAAAAATTGGCAAAATAAGCGCTTGAAACAATATATTTTATGATATAGCAAAGACATGAAAATGCTATAAAGTTAACCGAGATTTTAAATGGATGTTAACGTGAGGACTTGAACCATAACAAAAATAAAACCACTATAATTATTTCACTTGTGGGGCCCAATCCAAATTTTCAACAAACCATGGGAACGAATTTTGTAATTTACTCTAAATCAAAAGTATAAAATACGTATTTTATTTATGGAAAATTGACTCAAATAGTCATATTTTATAATTAAATTAACCTTTTAATCGTTTCTATCCAGACTTTACTCAAAAGTCACTAGGTCCACAATACCCAATTGCGGACCCACTAAATGACAAAAAAAACAACATTTTTTGGACAGATCTGCAACCACCGATCCGAAATTATTGCATATTCGACCCAAAACTCGTTTTCCTATCAAATCCCCAAGATAGACACTTAAGGGGCGTTTGGTTCGTAGAATGGAATTCGATGAAATTGGAATTCATCAAATGAATTTGACTTTGAGGGAATGGAATGAAATCTGATAGAATTTGACCATGCCTTGTGATTGCATTTGATTGCATGGAATTGGAATGAAATTCTTAACGGAAAGGAATTGAAATCCTAGCATATTGACATGGGATTGTAAAATCTGTGCGTGAAGGAATTGACTGGAATTGAAAGGATTACTTAGTCTTATTTCATGAACCAAACACTCTATTTGGAATTTGGTCAAATGATTGGACATTCCAATTCCTTTCAATTCCCATGATCCAAACAGCTCCTTATGGATCTAACATTACAGATTAAAAAAAAATGAGTTTTGGACCGGATCCGTAATAATTACAGACCTATGTAAAAAAACTCTAGAATTTTGTCGTTTAATGAGCTTACAATAATTGCAGACATAAGTATTATAGATCTAGTGACTTTTTGGTAAAATTTGAAAAAATGATTAACATTAATTTGGTTGTAAAATATGTTGGATTGGTTCGATTTTTCTTTATCATTTATTGGTGAATGAATGATCTTTAACGTAAGAATGGGAGCGAGTGCACTGAATTTAAGGGCAAAAGAAAAGAATATATCATGTCCCCTCGCCCCATCCTTCATTGTTTTTTGTATTTTGATAAAAATATATTAAATAAAAAAGATAAAATAATTAAATAAACTTTTATATTTTGAACAATTAAGTTTCTAAATATTTTATAAATAAAAAAAATACTTACATATATAAAAATGAAATAAATGTACCAAAAAAAGTACTTACGTTCACAAAAACATACTTACATTTAAAAAAAGATTATTGATAAAATTTATTTTAATTAAAAATAAAAAATATTTTGTTAATGATTTTCCAAATTAAAAATAAAAAAGGATTTTTAAAAAAGATTACTGAATAAATTTATCTTAATTAAAAATAAAATATATTCCGTATATGATTTCTTAAATTAAAAAAAGATTTTTAATTAAAAATAAACATATATTTTGTTGGTGATTTTTCAAATTAAAAAAATAGAAAATAATTTGATTAAATTATTGACGGATTAACAATAAAATTAAATTAAATACATATTTAATTAAAATTCGTCGCTAGTGATCATTGATATATATGCATAGATTACTTATATCTAATTGATGGCTAACTTAACCACCGTCAGACACTCTAACACAGTAACATGTTATTAAGTGTGATAAATCGTGCTTGAATCTTGTCGATGATATCATTTCAGCGACGGATTTTAATTAATTGTGTATTTAGTTAAATTTTATCGTTAATTCATCAGTAATTTAATCAAATTATTTTCTATTTTTTAATTTAAAAAATTACCTACGAAATATATTTTATTTTAATAAATAAATCTCATCAATAATCTTTTTTACTTTTTTTAATTTAAAAAATCACATATGAATATATTTTATTTTTAATTAAAATAAATTTAATCAGTAATTCTTTTAAAATCTTTTTTTATTTTTTTTAATTTAAAAAATCATTTGATAGAATATATTTTATTTTTAATTAAAATAAATTTTATCAATAATTTTTTTTAAATGTAAGTACTTTTTTGGTATATTTGTTTCATTTTATAGATGTAAGTATTTTTTTTTTGTATAAAAAAATATTTATGAACTTAATCATTCAAAATATAAAAGTTCATTGAATTTTTTTCAGACTTTTTCTATTATTTTATCACATTAAACAATTGTATAGGTCATAAGTATATATATCTAACAAGTTTTAAAAACTCCAAGAAGTTATTTAACAACTTTTGGAAAGTTCAAGTACTTATTTGTTCCAAAACGTTGTCCAATGACTTAATCATTTCAAACATTAAAGTTCACTAGATTTTTTTAGACTTTTTCCTATAAATTTTCTACTATTATTCATCGAGTCAATGATATTAACTCATTTAAATTAGGTTATACATTAGAAACTAACAAATAAGACGTTAGAAAAGGTAAGGAAAATCAATATTGCGTAAAAAAAACGCGCATTAGGTCATGGCATGTCACAGGCTTAACGTGACATGAGACACAAGAATTAAGGCACAACGTGCCATGACGGCTGTTGCGGCGAGCTTTTTTGAAAACATACAATATTTATCATAAAATAATAGTGACATAATATTAGAACATCATAACTCTTTCTTTTTACGGATCAATCTGCATGCACTTCGACTGATTCCATGAGGTTTTGAAGATGACAGTTAGGAAAATTCTTAAGGGCTTTAAGGAGATTCGAACTAGCGACATATGAGGACTTGAGGAGGAGCCCGAAGACTTACATTTTATTTGTCAGCTGGGCATCATAACTTTTGAAGGTAGTTCAACTAGTAGGTCGTTAGATTTGCTTTCAGTGGTGGTCGATTAGAGTCCTTTCAGAATCACTAAGTTTGTATACTATTAATTTCAGGATACGAGAATAGTCAGGACAAGAACAAGTTGGCCCATGCACCCATAGCTACAAGAAAAATATGAACATTGGAATATCGATTTTAATTTTTTTATTTTAGATATAAGTTTAGGTATCATTTGGTACGCAAAACTAAAAGGACTGAAGATGATTGGACGGGACTGGACAAGACAAGTTGTTCCTAAAATACTGTTTAATAATTTTACATGGTGGTCACTGGTGGTAATGGAAGTGGAAGTAGCGATTGTGGTTGAGGTGGAGGTGGTCGATGGTGGTAGTAGTGGTACTGATGGAAAAGGCGGTAGTGGACAATGACTGATGGTGGTTGTGGAGGATGTGAAGATCGTGGACGATGGTAGTGGTGGAGATAAAAAGTGCTAGAGGTGGTGGGTTGTGGCGATAGAGGAGGTGGTGGTCGATGTGGTGGAGGTAGAGGTAGTGATGGACGGTGATAGTGGTAGCCGATGGTGGTGAAGGTGGCCATATTGGTCGTGTTGACGGCAATGGGCAATGATGGTCGGTGGTGGTTGTGGTGGAGATGTATGTGAAGGTGGCGGTTGTGAGGACGTAGAGATGGTGGACAATGGTGAATATAGAGGTGGATGTGGTGGTTGTGAATGAGGTGGATGTGGTGGTTATGGATAAGGTGGAGGTGGTAGTGGTAATTGATGATGGTAGAGGTGGTGGTTACCATTAAACCACATATTGTATCCGAGTTATATCAAACAAAGGTAGATTAGTAATTTTTAGTTTTATCTCATTCTTGTTCACTCTTATTCCACGTAATTGTGGAATAAGAAAAGTCTTTGTTATCCCACCCAATCCCTATCTATGTCGTGTCTCATGTAGCACCAAACGTGGAACAATCAGTTTTGTCCTTCATGTCTAGTCATATGTACCAAGCACAAACGCTATTGATGCAAAAGATTGTTTTGGCCAGGTCCTCCCAACTTGACTCAACAACAAAAATGGCCTGATGGTTTTTGAACGGCTCGTGCCAGGCATTTACCGGTCATACTCTGAATTATGTGCTTGAAACAGTCTTTTGATCCTTAACAGTTCGTATTTAAGTTTTTTTTATTAAAATTATTGAACACACACACATTGCAAGAAGATGATAAGTTCAAGATTATATGTGATTACAGAGTAAAATCACATGTGATATAACATATTCAAAATGACGTGGATGACTTGGTCAATGCGACCAAGGGTCACGGGAAAGGTCGCCCGCTCTATGACTGGTCAATGTAACATTTTTGTGTCACATGTAATTACGTGTTTTGTATTATATGTGATCTTCAAACCACTCATTTTCAATTTTACGCACCTTCTCGTTTGATCATCTCTCTCTATACATAATGGGTTTTAGAAACCGTCATCTTAACATGTAGAAATACATGTTGGCCCGACCAGTTCAAGAGGTATTGTAGGAAATAAAATTTAACTGGTCAAGGTAAAAAGACATTTTGGTCCCTCCAATTGTAGGTTTAAGAGGTATTATAGGAAATATAACTTATTTGTGTTTCATCTCTTCTTTTAACTTGTGAAAAAACATTTATGGTCTTTTAAAAACCCATTTTCTATTTATACTTTGCCATGATATTTGAGTCAGACTTTACGGTAACTGATCGGGTTTTACAGTAACCGATCTTTGATAAAGATGTAAGATTGATCAAACTTTTGGATGGTCTTAATTACAATATTTCGTGTAACAAGTCTTAATTGGGTCGATGTCGGTCATCGGACCCATTTATGCACATACACCTACTTCTGATGACGACAACGACGATTATACAGTATTAGAAGTTAGAACACGTTTGTTTTTTGCTTGATGAGCTTAACAAAATGGGCATTAAAACACACGAGTAACAATATGTCAATGGGACATATGTGAGGGGTACTGATGTAATTTTGTCGTGCCAAACCCACTTATAAAATTTCCTCTCATTTTCTCCGTACTCATCTATAGCAGCGGTAGTAAAATGAAGATCAACTGTGACGTCTGTAATAAAGACGAAGCATCGGTGTTTTGCTCCGCCGATGACGCAGCCCTTTGCACCGCCTGCGATCACCGTGTCCACGACGCCAATATGCTCGCCGGCAAACACCCTCGTTTCTCCATCCTCCTCCCTTCCCCTAAAGATTCCCCCCTCTGTGACATCTGTCAGGTGATTAACACTCAACACCCTTAAATTTTAATCAAATTTGTTGCTTTTTTAATTCATAAGAAGATTCAAATTTTGATTCCTTTTTGTGACAGGAGAAGAAAGCTCTGTTATTTTGTCAGCAAGACAGAGCAATTCTCTGCAAAGATTGTGATGTTGCAATTCATAAAGTCAACGAGCACACTAAGAATCACTGCAGGTTTCTTCTTACCGGCGTTAAGCTTTCGTCGGCGGCGTTATTACCCACCGCCGGAAACGGCGTTGTTCCTGACCAGAACTGGGAATCTCGAGATCAAGAACTGGTTCCAATCGTAAATCAAACTTCTTCTAGAACCCAAAAGATTACAACAGTCACAGCTCAGAATATGAGTCCGAAATCAAACGGGTCGGATCATGGGTCTGCAACATCAAGTAGCATATCGGAGTATTTGATTGAGATGCTACCCGGTTGGCACGTTGAAGATTTTCTTGATTCCCCTTGTAATTTCTCCAAGGTTTGTAATCTTCAGCATTTTTTTCTTGTTAATTTATGGGTTTTTAATTTATTTTGATCTGATGATGGGAGGATCTTTAGATTGGTGAGGATGATCCGGCTGTATTTTGGGATGATGAGCTTCTAAAAGGAAGCATGAATGATTGCTTCTCGCCGGAAACAATGGGGATTTGGGTTCCACAAGCGCCACCACCGGCAGCTCCTCCACCGGCAGCACCACCAGAACCACGGTTTCACAATTCTTCTCAGATTCAACCTTATTCAAACATGGGATTTGGAAATCAAATAATCAGTGGGTCATCACTTGTTTTTGCTCCATCCAACATCAATAATAAGATCACGAAATCAACCGGAAAACGAAGGTCCGATGACGGAAATTGCTTCACTGTTCCACAGATCACCCCTCCTCCGACGAACATCAAGCGATCAAGAACACTTTGGTAGTAAAAACCCATCAAGATTCCTCACTGTTTTTGTTTTTCTTAATTAGTTTTCGAGCATCTTTCCGTTTCCATCCAAATTGGGTTTGATTCTTCGATAATTTAGCTTCTTTTATTTTTATTTTTATTTTTTCTGATCAAGATCTGTGTGAATATTTTAGTTCCCATACGGGTCTGTAGATAGAATTAACTTTATGAAATAATAGAAAAAAAAAATTAATATTCTATGGAATATAGTAAACTTTTCTTTTACTCGATGCTTCTGAAATTAAAGTCACCATTGACTTTAAATATAATCCATAACCACTACCGTGTTTGATTAATTTGAGTTTGACTTTAAAGAATAAAAGTATCAGGAGGTCTCATGTTCAAATCTAAATAAGAATAAAAATCTCTTTTTGGCCGTGTAGGTTCAAATGCGGTGACTCCGGACTATCTACAAAACAGGTGGTCGTGGTCGTATTAGTCGGCTCGCATAACGGGTGAATATCCAGATTAATATAAAAAAAAGATAATTGAGTAAACTACAAATTTGGTCCCTATAGTTTGTCAAAAAATAACACTTTTACAAGATGATCGTCTTGGTTTTTTAAAATGTTTGGATTTGATTTTTCTTTAATGTTTGTTAAAAAATTCTGTGAAATGAGAAATATTTATTTTTTTATCTATTTTTTTTGTCTGTTATCCAATAAAAAACCACATGTACCAAAATAATGAAATTGATTTTGATTTTGTAAAAGACAAAAAAATCGAACATTTAACAAAAGTTTTCAATGACCGTTAAGAGGAAGGACGAAAAATGCTATTTTTGACAAACCACATGGATCAAATTTGTAGTTTGCTCTAAATAATTTAATTAATTCATTTTAATAAACTAAAAATGTTTACAATTTTATTTGTTTTAAAGTTCAAAAATAAAACCAAATCAAATATCTTGATATATCTTATTTTCGAAATAATAGAAGACTGTTTTTATGAAAACTCTCCATCTTATAAAACTTTCGTAAAAGCTTAGAAAAGAAACATATAATTTGTCAAACTAAATTGTTGAAAAATTGATCTATGCTTACTTTATACAATTTATGGAACATTTAATTTATTTTGAATTTTAAATTTAGTATAAATGCATTTATGAAGGAAAATCAATTTTTATAGGGTAAATTTCAATTTTGATTTCCGAGGTTTACTGAAATCATTGAAAGTGGGATCTAAAATTCAATAAGTCTAACATTATATATATATATATATATATATATATATATAGGGGCCTAATCAAATGAGAACTGATTAGTTTGTGGTAACTGTGAGAACCACTGTGAGCCACTCATTTAAATAATTAATATTATATCCTAAAATAACATAAAGGGTAAATTGATAATGTTTATAATTTTAAAACCCTACTCCTCCTTCATTATGAAATAGCCGTCCTCCAGCATGGGCATGCTTCTCTTCCTTTCTTTCCCCCTTCTCACGCACAACAACCACCACACCATCATTCATCATCACATGGAAAATCAATCAAACCAGGTACCAGAGTTTTTATATAAATGGGAGAACGATCATCATTGACGATGCGTTGAATAAGAGGTTGAAGATCCTTGTAAGTGACCATTGGAATCTTCGACTTGAAAGTTTCTCGATCGGTGGCTCCGTCGAGATTGTAAAGCTTGAGATACTCAGTTTTATCGTTTCGGCTTAGTATCGCCGCCAAAACATTCGCCTGAACGGTGTCAGTGCTGCTCGTCATCTTCTCGATGAACTCAAGCGCCTTCGCATCTTTTTCGAACACCGGCAAATCCACAAAAGATCTCCGATCATCAGTCTCCATGATGATGATGGTAGATTAGCACAGGTGTCGCCGGACATGTAAACCATATCTCGTCGGAGATGTAACTCCGAAGATGTGCCACTCCTTTTCTGTGGTACACAGTGGTACCCCAATAGTATCACAGTATATCACATTGTGTATCTTTGTGATTACTTGGTACCTGCCGGATTTTTGTTCACCGGAGACCGGAGATTGGAGGTCGGAGAGATGAGAGAGGAGAGAGGAGTTTTTTAAAAATACCTAAAATGCCCTCTAATTATAATTTTAACTCAAACTACTATAATTATTAATTTCCTAATTTATTCGTTAATTTGTGATTGAGATTGGTTCTCACAGTTACCACAAACTAATCAGTTCTCCCTTGAATGGGCCCCTATATATATATATATATATATATATATATATATATATATATATATATAACCATCGGTTAATTTGAGAAATATTAAGTATTTGAGAAGTAAAGACGTGATCATAGCACTTCATCTCAAGATTTACGACTTTGACTTGTCAAGATTTACGGCTTTGATTGGTCAAAATTTAGGCATGGTAACAACTATGTGAAAAATAGACAGGTACTTTCATAACTTTTACAAATAGACAACAAACATATACATATGTGAATCCATGTGTGTCACATATGAATTATCTATGCATATGTGAACCTGTGTGATTCATATATGGACTATTGTGTGATTAGTTAAATAGTTCATATGTGAATCATAACTAATCACAAGGGTTCATATATAAATCAGCTAAATAATTCATATGTGAATCACACGTGTCACATATGGACGAATAGTTCATATATGAATCACACGATTTCACATATGCACTTGTTTGTCGCATATTTGTAAAAGTTATGAAACAACTTCTTTATTTTCCACATACCATGTCACCGAATTATCCGATGCTTCACAATCAAAGCTACAAATGTTGCAAAATGGTGGGTTATGATCACTTCTCTACTTTTCACACATTTTGCACTTCTCAAATGAACCTCTCCCTATATATACAAGGATGATCTTTTGTTAACCAAATAAATGGTGTTAACTATACAAACCCATTTGCACCATTAAGAAACCAATGTTAGTCCTTGTTAATTAACATGTTGGAGTCAATTATTAAGGTACAAAGGTAATTTCGGTTTTTAGTTATTTTATTAGTTAATGAATTTAATGGGATGTTACTAAAAAGAGTTTCACTACTAGAAAAGTCAGCATTTCCGGCGCCGATTTCCGGCGGATTGATCCGCCGGTAATTTTCCGGCGGATTTCCGGCGGCGTTCCGGCGGACGCTAAAAAAGTCAACATTTTATTGACTTTCAACAATTTCCGGCGGATTTCCGACGGATTTCTTAATTACTCAGATTAATCTTGAAATTACAAGATTTTACCGGCGGATTTCCG